GCTCACTAGCTCATATGTTCATATGAGCTAGTGAGCTAATCCCTATCTTTTTCCTATATATATATATATATATATAGTGTTATGTTAGGATGCTCACACTATGGAGTAATTTATCTTTGTACTCAACAAATTTTGGACACTTCGATATGACATCATCTACATGGGGTGTGATATCACCCACATGGAGAACACTAATGGCATTTAACGCTTCATGTAGGTGATGTCACACCCCATGTAGATGACATCACACCCCTCCTAATGACCAAAAATACCCATACTAAAAACAAACTCAATGTATAAAACAAGGGTATATAAGTGTCCAAATTTGTTGAGTACAATGTTAAATTACTCCATATTGTGAGCACCCTAACATAACCCATATATATATATATATATATATATGAAACACCGGGTTAGCCCACTAGCTCATATGAACATATGAGCCCAACGGCCCAGATTGAATCTGGGCCGATCTGACGATCATGGATGTCTGGTAGTGCTTGAAATTTTTTTTTTTGTTTTTCTACAAATCCAAATCACTTGAAATTTTAGGTGAAATTTTAGGTGTGTTCTTCTCATCAAGGCGCACATAATAAAAATATAAAAAAAATTATCCGCGAAAAGTAAAATGACCAAAATACCCCCCAAATCTTTTAGGGGGTATTTTGGTCAATTTATTTCATGTAAAATAATTTTTCATGTAAAATATTTTTTTGATATTTTCGAAGATGCATTTATTTTTGATGAACACACATAAAATTTCAAGTGGTTTGGATTTGTAGAACAAAAAACTAAAATTCAAGCACTACCGGACATCCGTGATCGTCAGATCGGCCTAGATTCAATCTGGGCCGTTGGGCTCATGTGTTCATATGAGCTAGTAGGCTGACCTCAGCTTTTTCCATATATATATATATATATATATATATATTCTTTCTTTGATGCTTTGGTTGGACAAAAACATTGTAGTATCGAAGTTAGCATTTTATATAATGAATTCTGATGCATTTCTATCATACTTGTCCACGTCGAAAATAGAAATTAAAGATAGAAGACGAATAATGTTAATGTTCAATGAATATTCTGTCTACTCAGCCAGTGGAGCTCTTGGATAGGTAAATAAGCCATTATCCTGTTTTTGGCTGCAAGATGTTATGGAGTCTAGCTCGATCCATATCTTCCAAATCTAATTTTACTTAATAGAGAAACGAAATTATTGGTTGTCAAACCCATTTGCCTGATGCCTTGGTTTATGAAAGCACTGTTTCAAAATGCAACTATCGCACTGTATGATGGCACTAAATTATACGTTGAAGGAATGGTGATTTTTCTAAACCTATTTGATGTAGTATACGTCCCATATGATTAACAACTTTAGATAGAGAGATGGACTTTGAGTAGTCAATCAAATTCAAATACGAAATGCAATCATGTTCGTCAGATCGGCCCATATTCAATTTGTAATCACTAGTAAATATGGATTTTCATGCCTGCACTAAATTTTAGGTGGGTGCATTCTCCAAATGGGGACTTATCATGTGAGCCATAGCTTTGAAATGGAACAGATTGTTAGTAATTTACCATCTAGCCTTATGATTAAGAATTGATGCAGTGCTATGGGTTGCAAAAAGGCCATTGCACAAAATTCCCTTTAGCACAATAACGTCCTCTTTAATATTTTTCTCATAATGGATGGTTTATTTTATCATGTGATTCTATTTGCACCTATATACCAAAATTTTTGCGGCTTATAGATTTATTATATAGGAATGTCTAATTATTCAAGAACGTTGATGAAAGGTAGATTCATAACAATAAAATGTTGATACAATGTGCTGTTTATTTAGAGAATGCTCGTGTGATGGTTCTTGCTGCCACCAACCGACCATCAGAACTTGATGAGGCAATTTTACGGCGTCTTCCTCAGGCTTTTGAAATAGGAATACCAGATAGGAGTGAGAGAGCCAAGATTCTGAAGGTGATTTTGAAGGGTGAAAGAATTGAAGAGAACATTGATTATGACCATATAGCCAGCATATGTGAAGGTTACACTGGTTCAGATCTGCTTGAGCTCTGCAAGCAAGCAGCTTATTACCCAGTCCGGGATCTGTTGGATGATGAAAACAATGGCAGGAGAGCTCAGGTTAGTCAAAAGTCTACTTTCTAGATTTTTCCTTCTTTCTTGAAGATTTTTAAAGGACAAATTTTATAAGTAACAAATCTTATCCCCAGAAGAAGATTTTATGAGGTAAAATCTAATTTGTTCGAGTGCTTGCATAAATTATACAAAATGCAGCATTATTGTAATTGCATTACTTGAAAGATAGTAAGTTTAATTGCATAGTTTTTGGATTAAAAAATTCTTGAATTTGAGTAAGGGTGCCCCCATTAGTGAAACTTTACAAATAGTCCTAGTGATTGTAATTGCACGATATTTACAGATAACAGTAGCTCCATTATGGATTTTTTTAAAATCACTGAAGTACCATGATATAACAGAGTTCAATTGGAAAACAAGGAGACCTCCTTTAATTTCATAATTATGAAGTGGTTTTTTTTTTGGGTAGATAAAATTATGGAGTGCTTGGTAACAATGTTCCCTTGAGATACCTATTGAAAGAAAAATTGCAAATTTTCCAATTTAAATCTCAACAAAATCAAATTTAAAAGCTGTAGATTTGTGTTTCAGAATCCGAGACCTCTCAGACAGTCAGACTTGGAAAAAGCACAATCCATATCAAAAACATCAAAGGTAGCAAGAAATGAATACGAGTTCAATCCACAATCGACTGCATGGTCGAGGTCGAGACAACCGGATGACTACCAGGTGGCTATCTCAGAGCTTTCTAAGCTTTTGTCTCGTATTGCCGTCAACTTTCAATCTGAAGACCAGGAATTTTAAGATGTGTTTTCTACAAATATAGAAGGTACTAGTTTTACTTTTGGGAAAATAAGTTTTAACATGTTTATATTGTACTCTTCAGGACCTGTAGTCTTGGTTCTGTAGCAGTTGACTGCTTAAACCATCCCCAATTACAGGCATTCTACAGTAGGGAAATTCACAACGGGAGGAGAGGAAATGATCTTTTCCCTATGTCGTTGCCATTGCTTTTAATGCGTAAATGATTCAATGTTTGCATCATGTCTTTCCCCCCTTTTAGGTCTCAGTAAATTAACTTGTTCTGCACCACTTCTTATTCAGTTTATTAAAGTATGCAATTAATCATTCAGAGGAATAAGTTGTAATAATACTTGTTTAGGACTGCATTTCATCGAAAAACATTAAGAAAGAAAAAAAGGACAAACTCTAGGTTCTCATGTACATATCATCTGTTTGAGTCAGCTTTGCTGCAGAATTGTCTATGGGAAGTAGTTTTGTAGACTCTCCTAGGGTTTTGTTGCTTGCACACATACCCGTATGCATGTATGGTTTTGGGAGATTTTATGAGAAATTGGCAGCATTACTATGAGTTTCGTAAGATGAGTTTTGGTTTTCATCATCTCAATGAAATCTACTTAAAATTAGAAAAAAAAAAATTAAGAGTTCTGGTTTTGCATGCACGCTACACGAGCTTTGATAGGATTTAATGCACTAGTGGTTCTTCAGTGTGCCCAACTGCAAGGGAAAGGTACTATTGTATGCAGGACTTTGCCAGACTTTGTGCGGAGCCCAGGATCCATTAGGGGTGGCAGCGGGTATGGGATGGGTCTGGCTCCGGTCCGGGTCCAGACCCGGACCCGAAATACCACTTATGGACTTGTACCTGGATCTGTACCTGATGGGTCCAAAGAATCCAGACCCATACCTGTATACGTACCCGGGATATGGATTACGACCTGGGACCTAGACCTATACCCAGGACAAAAATGAGTAGATCCTGACCTGGACTTGGACTTGGATTTGGACCCAAAATGCCACTTATGGACCCATACTTGATGGGTCCAAAGAATCCATACCTATACCCATACCCGTACACATACTCGGGATATGGATTACAACCTAGGACCCAGACCGGTGCCCAGGACAAATATGATGGATCTTTTTAATGCATATTTCTGTAAAAATATCCCAAATTTCTTTTTCATGCATATTTATGTAAAAACCCACCAAATTTCCTTAATGCTGCTTCTTCCATAGAGTTTTCCTAAAAAAATCATGCTAAAATATCAAAAAGAAAGCAGAAAAATCAAATAAAGATTTCCCATTATTTATGGTCTTCCATCGAGCATCAAGATATAAAAAAAATAAATAATAAGCATGAAAATGAAATGGAACTTTGCCATTTTTGTTGAATTTTCATCGAGCATCGAGATGTAAAAAAAAAAAAGCATGAAAATCAAATAAAAATTTGCCATTTTTGTTCATCTTTCATCGAGCATCGATATGCAAAAAAGGAAAGCACAGAATTAAATGTAAACTTGTCATTCTTGCTTATCTTCCACCAGGAATAAAGATGCAAAAAATGAATGTGTGAAAATCAAATAAAAAATTGTCCTTTTTGTTGATCTTACACTGAAGATCAAGATGAAAAAAAAGATTGCACAAAAATCAAATGAAAACTTGTTATTTTTTCTTATCAAAGATCTAGCTTGGAAAAAAAATAGGATTTGGTGGGCCGTAGGGGAAGAGAGAGTTGGGCGCTTGCAGGGGAAGAGAGGGAGAAGAATTGGGGTTTTGTAGGGGAAGATAGAGAGAGAATGCAAATGCGATCGAAGCTTCAAAGATCCAACTGACGTAGACAGACGTAGAGCGCGGGCGGCTAGGGTTTTTGTAATCGAAGCTTCAAATAGAGAGATAGAGGGAGGTTAAAGCTTCAATGCTTCAGTTGAGCAGGAGCTTTGCGTTTGGGAATGGATTTAGGGATTTAGGGATTTCGGGTTTGGCCATAAAAAAAAACAAAGCTTAAAACACGATGGTTTAAGTTTGTTTAATTAATGTTAAATTATAATTAGGTAGGTTATATTTTAGTTAGATAATTACGTTTTAAAATATATAATATGATTTTAATTGAATAATGAATTATTAATCTTTATATATACTTTAAATTCTAAATATATATACTTAATAACTTATTAACTAATGGGTCCAGGTCGGGTACGGGGCAGGTCCACCAATACCCGTACCCGAAAATTTTTGGATATGCATTGTTGAACCGAACCTTACCCCCGAGTAGTAATTTGGACCCATACCCATCGGGTCCTGGGTTGGGTACGGGTCCATTGCCCTAGGAGCAATACACCTTAGGAGCCGTTTGAGTACTTGAAAATATATTGTCTGTTAAATAAATTATTTGTGTAACATAGTACTAATGTACTATGTTATCTGGCAATGAAATATTGTTGTTTGGATAATATTTGGATGCAACCTAAAAATGTATTGCTACTGTTTGACTATGTCCGGAAGAAATTTGAAAAATAC